ATATTAATTACTGCGGTCCTATAGAAATTCTTAGAACTGTTATTTCATTTAATTAAATTAAATTTGCATAGAAATATGAAATTGAACTAATTAAATAGGTTCAACGAGAACTCGAGAAGGGTAAGTTGAATACAATAGAAGAATTTGACCAAACACTATTTTAATTTTATGAATCTCGATATTAGAAATTAAGATGACCATTAAGTGAAGTTGTTCCGCCCTAATCTCCATTTATTATTTGAATTCTCACTAATTTTCTATTGCATTCCCGAGATTTTTAGTAGTTAGATTTAAAAATCACAGTCAATCAAATTTATTTATTTATTTATTTATATTCATCAAATAGGAGTTAGGAATAATAAATTGAGTACTAAAATATAGTTCTTGTGGGAACGATAATCCGGACTCAAAAGATCCACTTTACTACTTGTTACGATCCGTCCACTTGCGAGATAAAATCGACAACAATGATTCAATCATTCTTGGTTTAAAGAGTTCAGTACTTGGTTGGAGTACAGTGTAGAAAAATATGCTACTTATTGTTTGTCCTGTTATCTTTTCAAAATAGGTTCTGGAAAGTATGGAGGAGATGAGTATTTTGTGAAGCTTGTTGTCCACGAGATTCATTTTCTACTTTTGACAAGAAAAACTTAACTCGACTTGCTGAGCTTTATCCATTAGATTTCTCTGTAGTAGATCTTATTGTACTTAGTGATCAACTTCAAACTTATATTTTGACACGCACTCTAATAAAGAGTTTGAAGGATTGAATGACATTGGTGATCTTGCAGAGAAGTTAGTTCTAATAAAGAAAAATAAGGTTATCCATTATTTACATAACTTTTGACTTTAACATTGATTCTATCGATTGTTCCCACTACTGTGAATAGAGTATTTTTTGCAATGAGCATTGTAAAGGATAAATTGCATAATCAGATGGGTGATCGGGGATGAATGATAACACAGTTGTTTATGTAGAGAAATATATATTTTTAAAGCTCGATAATAAAGTTATTGTACTACTATATCAAAGTATAAAAACTTGAGAGGAATAAGTGTAATTTATAAACTATGTCATTGTTAGTATTGTCGTAATATTGTTTTATATTTTTATTTTCATTAAATCTTTGACCAAAAACTTGATGTTCGGCGTCAATAAAATTGTACCCACACTGAATAAATTTTCTGGCTCCGCCCTTGATCTAAAAGTTAACATTCAATTCTTACGAGATAATTGCATTGAAGTCAATTTGACGAGGGACTGAAAATGAGATTGATAAAAAGGCTTTTAGTATTTTCGAATAATAAAGGCGGTAGGATTTAATCTAAGCCAAATATATTACAATATTGACGCAACGCAAGAAGATTGGTTTATTCTTTGTCATTTCAAAATAGAAAATCCCTTTTTTAAATGTAATATATGCACATGTAAGAATGATCTCATGCACGATCACTTGTACAGGGATTAGGAAATTGCAGTGAAGCTTCATTTAAAGAAGGTGATGAAAAGGTCAGCCAATTTTGAATAAGAAATGTACTACTTCTTGTCATTAGTCATCAAGACTTTTAGCCCCCGTTTGCCCCATTAAATTTGAATTTAATGGGAAGAATAGTGATTTTTTATTTTTTTAAATGGATCATTATAAAAGAATGAAAAGTTTTTTATTTACGTATAATATTATTTTATTGAAAATTGTGTGATTGAAGATAGGGGAGAAATAAATTTAATTTAATTCGATGAGATTTAATGGGGCCAAACAAGGATTAATAAGGTAGCAGATTCAGCCCCGATTAGCCCCCTTTTTTCAAATTTTAATGTTTGGATTAGTGTTTTTTTTTAGAATATTTGGTTGAGAAAGAAGAAAAATATTTCGATTTACAAATATTATTTTATGGGAGATTGTATAGTTAAAGAGAGAGAGAAAATTGAAAGAGAAAGGAGGGCAAATAGTAGCTCAATGCCAAGACTGAGAAATTATCTATGAAGGTTAGCTGTAATTTTAACACTAGATAAAAACCAATATAAATATATAAATACGCTTTCTTTTCAAGAAAATTGAGTTTCGTTAAGCTTTAATTAATTAAACAAGTTGCAATTAGATATATATAAAGAAGTGGACACATGATGTTAAGAGCTTCTTACATGATGAAGCCATTGACCTACCAACTTAAAATTCAAAATAATTATATTCTTTTCGACCCAAGTTGCCAAAATATGATTAATCTAAAATTCTTAAGTTTCGGCTCTCCAAGAATTTTTCAAAATTTTACACTAGGTAGAATGTAATTGGGAGTAAAATATTGATTTTTGAAAATTTTGATGGGTTCAATCTAGAAGACTGCTCCGTTTCATTTAATTGTAACCAATACTTTCTTCGTCACATTCATGGGTATTTTGCCTTTTCGATGATGAAATTTTAGTTCCTTCTCAACTTTGAATGCTTAATTCTCAGGACACCAGTTTTAGTTTAATGAAGGATTAAATTATGTCTACGTTACTCGGTTTCTATTATCGGTTCGTGACATATGAAGACATAAAAAAACGAATGTATCTACTATCCATAATCAGCAATCGATTAATCTTCTTTCCTCGTTAATTATAAATTGCGGTAGTCGAGCTTTTTACACAGTTAAAGCTACACAACTTAAATATCTACATTCCCTTTTGTAAAGCCTTTCAGGGATCAACTCCCCAGCCAATCCTAAACTGGGTTAAGACTCTATAACATATGGGCATTAAGGATTCAAGTTGTCATATGATTTTTCATCTTATTAACGACGTGATGACTGAAGATCATTAATTGTTTTTAGGGTTGAAAGTTATAAGTCGTTGGAAAGTTCAGGATTCAACTCGTAATCTTGTATTTCACACGAAGTTGCGGTAATTTAATATAAGGTCAATTACGTGTTCAATTACAATTCGATACTCAATTATAATAGAAAAGTTGCCTATACAAGTTCAACAGGCATCGACTGTTGATATGTTGTGACATGTGTGGACCCAAAATATGATTGGCCTCTTTATTTATAAATGTTATCGCTTGATTAGCAGGAAAATTGATAAATTTTCCGTTGTCAACTAATGTGGGTGACTTCTATTCCTTGTCACCAGTAAATTGAGTTTTCAACACCTTACATTGTCCCATAAATTGACAATGAAGCAAAAGTCTAGTTCAAACATCTTCTTAGGTGATTACTCTACCACAGAGCAAGATTTTATGAGCCAACGACGAGCTTATCTAGGTTGTGACCTTTCTTGATGTGTACCTTTTCAATGAAGAGTTCCACCATTCCCTCAAAAAGTCATAACCTTTTATGAATAGTCTTGAATTTTGGATGAATGGTCATATATCATTAAACATTTTTTACAGAATCAAATTGATTTACTTCCTCTTGTTTAAAAAAATAAAAAAAATAAAAGAATCTCTAGTTTCGTGTAAAAGTTTCATTCAACATTCGGTTTTGTTCGATGATTCCTATATGATTGAGGTGTTGCTTTGCATGAACAGAGAACAATTGCTCGTAACCTTAAGCAATTTGGAAAGGTTGTGAATTTGATCGGGCTCGAATTATTCTAATTACTTATTCAAATAATCTGTAATTTACTTCTAGTTTTGGTTAATCAAATTTTCGTTTCCATAAAAGTGCTAGATTAAATTTGCAATGGAAACCATTGTATTGTATCGCATGAACACCAAGAACGAGAGATATGAGGAGAGAAATAAGGTGGGAAAACGTAAAAATTAGTTATTTGTTCCAAAGAATTCTTCTCGTAAATAAAATCTTTAATCTTAATCCTAAGCAAGTGTAAAAAGAATCTTGTCGTGCCCAATAAAAAGTTCCACCAAATTGAAGTGAAAAGTGACTCAATGTATGTAGTAATTACAGCGAAGAACACAAACTCAATAAAGACAAGTTTGTACATGACGCTTCACGCGTGAAAGTACAAGTAAAATGAAAAATACAAAAGTATAATTTGCATATTTATTTTTGTGAAGAATTGGATAACCTTCCATGAATGGCCACAAAGTCCAATATTAGTTGTTGACGTCGTTTTTAGCTGGGGTCACGCGAACAACAAATACCGGATTCACCCGTGCGCACGTAAGCCTAGTTCGACACACTAAGACAAGAAATTGGTTTGGGACGGTCCGAGAAAGGGCATGAGAGCGGCTCAAAAGCGTGAGACAACAACGTTTAGAATCCGACCAGACCTTTGTAGAATGATTGTACCAATCGTGGTTGGTGGATATGTTTGTAGACTTGATTGTGTAGCAAGAGAATAAAATGGAGTAAGTTCTTGGGTATTTGTCCGTGTATTCAATCTTGTATTCAAAGTTGCATTAGCCTTACAATGGTAGCATGAAGAATGTTAAGTAGTACAAAGTAAATTGAGGCCCTCGAATGGGAGTATATGTGGCCTCATCTCCTTGATCTATACATCTAATTCTAAGCATCACTTATGACTTGCTAGCCCACTTTATATTTACTAATAGATAGAGCCGTCACTTTATTTGACAAGACTTGACATTTAAACTCTATGATATACGATCCATCAATCATTCAAAGAAGATACTTGTGTAGAAACGGATCTTTTGAAAGAAATGATAGTGAAGGCGCTTCGAAAGTCTCATCTTCGGTGCATGGCCCTAGGAGTAAATCACCTCGGCCAATGTTCTTCGGACCTCGCAATGCTAAGCTTCGGTTGAAATATTAATTCTAGTTGCATTCAAGGACTTCAGGACCTCAGCCATCATACCACGTGTTCCAGCTTAAGTGGGCGAACGGCTACAGTGGGGTCAGCCCCGTGGTGCCTCGTGTGCCGAGGCGTAACATTTGTCACTCAATAAGATATGTTTTTTGTCCATTTGGATTCTCCAATAGATAAATAAATGATGATTCTACTTTGCATGGTAAAATACAAATTAATGATTCCAATTTTTCATCACATGCACGCGGCTTTTGTTATCTTGTCTGTAAAAATAGAAAAGGAAAACACATTTGATAAATTTGGCCTCCGTTTAATCTTTGTTCTTTATTAGATTTAGAAACAGAAAACTCAGAAATTACATTTGTAAATATAATCTACAAAAAATCAAACTTCCAAAACTCTTCATCTGAGACCATCAAAGGGAACAGAGGTTCCACCATTAAATTGCTGTTACTATCACAATTATTATACAAATCCAAACTGCTTATGAGATCATCGTCTGAAATACTGTTCATGATTTCGTTGTAATCGAACGTTGTGGGAAAATCCAAATCTTCAAGCAAAGTGGACGAGAACCCGCCACCGCCAGAGGAGGAGGAGGCGGCGGCTGAGGAAGAGGATGACGATGGAGATGAATTTTCACAAGGAATAAGAATTTCATGGGGTTCAATTACTGGAATTTCATCAATGCAGAAGTCATTATTGACGTCCATTGAATCAAATGGGCTAGTGGGTATGTTTTTGTCTCGATCTTTAGCCTGATCAGTAATTGTTGACTGCAATGGGGTGTCATTGTCAACCACCACCACCTCCTCCTCCTCCTCCTCCTTGTTCTGAACCGCCACTTCAGGCTGTGCCGCCTGGGGTTTAGGAGGTTCATTTTCTGTCGTGTTAGTGGGCAATGGCTGGTGGGTGAGAGGATCGATCCCCATCTTTCTCAGCTTTTTCTTGATGTGGGTGTTCCAATGATTCTTGATCTCATTATCAGTTCTTCCAGGCAGATGAGAAGCAATTTTGGACCATCTAAAAAACAATTAAAATCAAGAATATGATCAAAAGTTAAAAATGTCCAATAAAAATTATATTATAATGTAACACAACCAATAAATAAATGGATCAAATGAAAGCTATGATTGGTCAGCTTGGCAATATTGCAAAGAATTACATTAAAGTGGAAAGTGATAATTATCATCTGTCTGCCACATTCTGTTCTTGAAATCATTTTTACATTCTTTGAATTAATTTCCAAGATAAGAATTAATAAGAAGAAGACTTGAGAAAGAGCAGTAAATTGAACTTTAGAAAATAAATAAATACGCACCTGTTCCCAAGCTGAGAATGAAGATCAATAACCGTTTTCTCTTCATATTCTGAGAGAAGCCCCCTCTTCAAGTCTGGCCTTAGATAATTTGTCCATCTCAATCTGCAACTCTTTCCACACCTCAAGAGTCCTACAAACAATTAGAAGAATCCCAAATTAATTATCAGAAATAAGCTAAAACTCTCTCTCAACTTTCAGAAAAAAAAGTGGGTAAAAAGACCTGCAAGTTTAGGGACAGCTCTCCAGCAGCATTGGCCATTGGTGAGGATGAAATTCATAAGTTTTTTGTCTTCTTCAGCAGTCCATGGACCCTTCTTTAATCCAACTTTGTCACAGCAAGGTTGCCTTCCCATCTTCAATTTAAGCTCTCACAAAAAAAAATTTGAGTGATTATCCAATTACTTATAAGTTAATTTGTTTATACACTCAAGCAGGAGGATAGAACTGAACAGACTAGCCTACAACTCATACCACAACTCCCTATTTATAGACACCTCAATCCACCTAGTGACCCCAAGGAAAAAATAAAAAATAAAAAAATCCACCCAGTCCCCCACGACTACCACTCCCGAAGAAAAAAATAAAAATGACAAAAGAGAACGCGGATTTGTTATTTTGTTTAATTTAAGAATGTCCAAATTTCAGACCGCCACACGTGTTGTTCGAAAAATGCCGTGCGGGCCCGCGCATGTTAATGACATCCTTTGGAAAGCGCCACCTCACCATCCAATCCCATTTTACTTGAATTTCAAGCAAAAATACATGGCAATTCCTTGTAAATTTGTGCTAGATATTGATCAGCTTGTCAAATTACTTGTTGTTTACCAGTATTTTTGTACACTCCAAAATGGGTCCACACCGTATTTGCAAAGCAAAAGTTTCAAGATTGTTAGCCGAAGACTAAAAGAAAAGAAAAGAAAAGAAAAATTACGACAACATTCAAGATGAAGTAACCTTTTTCAGGGATGATACTCGACTGTTTTTGACGTGAACGACAGTATGTAAATACTTTGTAATAATTGAGGGATTTGATTAGATTTTCTACTTCACCTAGTTTATTCCATTAGTTTGTGGAGGCAGAAGTTTCACTGTGTAAAGGAAAGAAAGAAAGAAGTAATGATGGTTAAGCGCATAAGATCTGCAATTCTAAGTTGAATCATTAATGAAAGAAATGTGTGGATATAAATTATGAGTCAAATGCTACTTATAAACTTGAAAAAGCTTTAAAAAAAATAATCATAGCTATAGGGTTATTATCTGATTTTTGTAAGGATTAAAAATAAACGAAAATAAAAGCAGTCTTAAATATATATTTGGACTTTATATTGTTACGTTGATCATCCTTATTCTTTATCTTAGACACGAGTTAGCCCTTGTTTGAGTCCCATTTTGGAGGGGAGGGGAATGCATTTTTTAATAGTGTATTGATAGAAAATGTGTGATTAAAATATGAGGAAAAGTTTTATATTTGCCTGTGATATTATTTTATTGAAAAATATGTGATTGAAATTATATTAAAATACTGTTTAAAAATGCATTTTTTTCAAAGAATAGAGCTCAAACAAGGGCTTACATAGTAATTCCTTTAAACAAAGACACAAAATCTAAATCAATACGATAACTAAAATAAGTAACAAATAGTTTGACTTTTTCAATTGGAGATTCCATTTGACGTGACTTTTGAAAAGTCAAAATGAGTTTTTGAAATTCAAAAACTATTTTTGACCTTGTTTGGTTAATTTTATGACGGTACTTCTTCTAGTTAGAAGAATTTTTAGAGGAAGCAGATCCAATGTAACTTCTTCGAAAAATACTTTTGAAATAGATAGTTCATTAAAAATTAGTTTCCAAACAAAAATTAAGGAAGTTTCTTTCAAAAATTCTTCTACAAAAAGTAAAACCCATGTCAAACGGAACTATATAAGCTCATAAACACCATCCTCCAATCACGTATTAGACAAATAGAAGATTAATTTTGATTAAAATTGATATTTTGTAGTAGGATTAGATTACAATTTTACTGTAACCACCACCATCGTCTCCATTGTCAATATGCAATTCTACGATGAACAAGGATTACACTTTTTTTTTTTTTTTAAACCTAGGTTAAATACAAACTTAGGGTGTGTTTGGGCCCATTCAATTTTGAAAAATGTATTGTGAAATAGTATATTGATGAAGAATGTGCGGATAAAAGAAAATGAAATTTTTTTTATTTGTGTATAATATTATTTTAGTAAAGAATGCATTATTAAAAATGAATGCTGTAGAAAAATAATATGATAAAATGTAAAATAATGAGTGACAAATAGGGGCTTAATGGATCACTCTCATAATAAATTCAATTCCAAATTAAACAAATTATCAAACACAGCTTTTACCTTTTATTGGAAAATTTATAAATAATAATAATAATAATAATAATAATAATAATAATAATAATAATAATAGGTTTCAGAAAACGTATGAATAATAATTATAATCATGTAACTGAATTTATAAATATTCAAAATGGTCAAGAAAGAAACGCCGGTGGTGATGCATAAATTAAAAATATCGGTCAAAGTCAACGGCAAACAAGTCCAAAACCAGTATCGAAATGTGGGATGCTACCGCGTTAGCCAGCAATCTCCTGTTCAGTCTAAACTATTGAATTGTACGGATTAGCATTGAAATTTAGGCACTGTGTCAAAAACCTAACACAGCCACCCTAAATTATCTTCATTACTCTAAAATGAATTAATCTAGTTATACAAATATTGTTTGTTGACAAATTAAGTGTTGACAAGATTTCGATCATTAATTTCAAAAATTGTTTTTGAAATGATTGCTCTAGATATTGTTTTGTGAATCACCTTCGTCAACCTAGTTTGTACAAATCTTCTAAAGTACCAATCAAATTCGAAAATCACTTTCACAATCTCTGAGGTGAACAGAAACTGAAAGAGATGAAGTTGTATTTTTTCTGTAGAAAGACTCTTGTATTCCAATTCAATTTTACAATGGCAAATCGTGCTACAGTGACATAATTATTGACAAAATATCATATGACATTTTATTACCAACTAACATTATATCACTTGATTTGTCAACCACTTTCTATACTCTCTACAATGGTAATACATACAAAGAAAACTAATTTGTAAGGTCAATCAGACAAAATTTCAGCTAAATCCTTCATTCCATCTAGGCTACTTTTACTAATTATTATTATTATTATTATTATTATTATTATTATTATTATTATTATTATTATTATTATTATTTCCTAAGTGGTGATATTCTCAATTGCTTTGATTGAATTTTTAAATGATGTTCGCATTGTAGAACATCAAGATCTTCAGGCCTCTTCTTAACATATAAATTATATTTTCAAGAAAAAAATATGATTTATATAAGTTTAAATCATCTTGTTGATAAAATTGGTGCACGCATTAAAATGATAAATAAGAATGACTAAATTGAAGAATGTATTTGTTATGTTGAAATTTATTATCTTTTACTTTTCTAACAAAATGAAAACGTTATTTCGCATTATCAAATAAGAAACTTTCACATTTTAGGTGCGTTTTATTGTTAATATTTTCTATGAAAAATGTCGTTTTTCCACCAAACTCTACTTTTGTACTGTTTGATTAAATTTTTTCCATGAAAAAGATTTTTTCCTACTTGTGATCACGTGACCATTTTTTTTTTTAAACAAAGAAAATATTTTCTTTAGGAAAGTAAGTTTTTATTTTTTAGG